AACTCCCAGAATTCCCCCAGCCAGCATGAATTCTGGGAGTTGAAGTCCACACATCTTAAAGTGGCCAAGGTTGAGAAACACAGCTCTAAATAATGCTGCGATACAAGGTACCTCAAAACACTCTCTGAATGTGCGTGCATTGTAGAAGGAGCACCAGGTTAGTCTATCTAACCAATATTATTTAGAATTTAGAATCAGAAGAGATCTGGTAACCCCTTTCCTGACTAACAGTTTTATTAAAAGGCATAAACTACAGCTCACTTCACCACAGTCTCAAGAATTACATGAAGATTAAGGAGTCTGGTAGCACCTTTTTCAGACTAATAGGTTTTATTAAAAGGCATAAGCTTTCGGGAGCTATATTTTGATTTCTGAGTTCTCACATGTGGGTAATTTTTTCAGTGGGAAAAAGGCATAGGAGGAACTCTAATTTTCATCCCACCATGGATCCCAGTTCAGACACAGACTAATTAATGGTGGATGATAACCATTAACTAGGTTAGCAACCGATGCACAGGAATAACAAATGTGGCAATGTTCGCACTGGCAAACCAACACAAATGGGAGTTAAACACCTCTGGTCTCTGCTTTAAAAGGGTGAACAGAAGATCCCCCAAATATGGGCCTTATTAAAAATCAGTTGCCAGTAAAGCCTCTGGGGGAAACCCCCAACCTTCGAAGGGGCTGCTCACGTCAGGGCTGAGCCAAGGACTCACCTGAAGAAGGAGCGGTTAGCGCGGAGACACCGTAATACGTGAAGGCTCCATTTTCAAACTTCAGTCCTTCCTTTCCAATCTCAACTTCAACCCTGCCCTGGCAAAGGAGGAAAACGGCAAAGTGAGCAGAGGAACATCTGGCCTGAGATGGGAGGGGGGGAAGGAGCAATACGAGTCACACCCAAATTGCTTCTAAGATTCCCAGATCCAGCTAGATCCTGGATTTTGGTTGCTCAGTTAATTTCTCCTATACAGGACTACTCTTTCTTAAATGCCTGCCTTTCACTGATTAGGGGTGACCCCAAATACCTGCCCCAGAGATACTCCCACGGCACCAACCCATCCTCTTTCAGGTACCACAGCCCATTTTTCATCAGAGCCACTCACTGATGGTTGGCTTTTAAATCACTACTCTGTTCTCTGCTGTTTTAAGTACAGTCTGTAGGCTTTTTAAAAACTGTCACATTTATAAAAAATACTCATAACTTGTTATGATCTGTCTAGGACATCCAGATTTATTGGGAGGTTTTACTGTAGTCTCCCCCAACCTGGCACCCTCCAGATGTGAGGGAACTGCAAACCCGAGAATTCCAAAGATCTCATGACACTCCACGGCCAGCATGACTACGTATCTTGCCTCTGCAGACATTTCACACTGTGCTCTGCGACTTGCTTACAGCAGAAGTTCACAGATTCAATCCTGCTGAATAAATTGCTTCACTGTACGCAAGAATGAAGTGATATATACGCAGAAGATCTGCCTCCTGAGAAACATAGAAATCAAGCCCTTCATCGATGTCTGCTCCAGGATTTAAATTCTGGGCTTTTTCACCCAGCCCTTCCGAGTCAACAGACATCTGATTGCTTTCTTCCCAGATCTGCCCAACGATTCGGTCTAACCTGAGAATTGTGGGTTCCCACCTCAACAGCATCAGCCCTTCCCATCTGGGGGAGGCCAGGCTGGGAAAGGTGGTTTCCACAATTGCTTTTAAAATACTATTGTTAATTGCTATCCAAGTTTCATAGCAGGGAGGCGGCATATAAATGTTGCAAAACTAGAATGAAAAGCAGCTTGTCCTCTTGCTAGGATTTACTGCATTTCTTTTAAGAACAGTTGGTCATCTTGGAGCTCAGTTCATACAGACAGACAGAATCATCCCCTCCCTTCCTCCCCCCCTCACCTAGCCTTTTTTCTTTCCATTTTACATTGTTTTAATTAAAACTAGGGAAACTGATATACAGTGGTACCTCGGGATACGAACGCCTCTACTAACGAACATTTCGGGTTACGAC